CTGTCTCATCCACTTCATAAACAAAAACCGGTAGATGGTCAGAAATATCATTAATAACAATACCATTGAAATGTTTACACCTTACATTATTCGTGAATATATTATCAATAAGTGTGGCCGAATGAGCAGTGATCCGAGTCGGTCTATTGATTAGAGGAATGAACATATGGGAAAATAGACTATCAACAAATTCTTGAGTAGGGGCATGATCGGAATAGTGAAACAGATCTATATTATAGTCTCCACCCAAATAACAATATTTGTCATTTCTAGTTATTTTAGCAAGAATCTCATTAAATTTTTCCAGAAAGTCCCGAATGTTATAATTAGGCGGACGATAAACAGTACCAACTATAATATTTTTCCCATTGGGAATGTTAATTTCAACAAAAAGAGTTTCGATCACTTCAGGTTCAGAATAATTACAATCGCGGCATAATTTGTATTCTAAATCGTCAAGTAAATAAAGACCTGCTCCACCGGCGGACTTGCTATCGCGGTGGTTCGAAATAAATTTATATCCAGGTATTTCCACCTGGTCCGACGTAAGCTCAGTTAGCCAGGTTTCCGATACGCATATGGCAGAAAATGGATTTTGCAAATGACTAATCAGGAATTTAAATTTATCTGAATGACCGATTAGGCTTCGTGTATTAATATGAAATACAGAGAAGCAAGGAGAATTTGAACTATTAGTTAGCTTAGCATTAATTTCATCCTCAGTATAATAATTACTAGGAGGAGGAGAAAAAGTAAACTGTTGATCTGGATCTAACTCATTAAAGAAAAACTGATTAGAGACAGACGAATTATCAATTGGGTTGTACAATCCCATGTTGGGTTGTACCCATGTTTACCCCTAGTTAACCTTGTTGTAGCCCTTTTACCCATGTTTACCCCTAATAAACCTGGTTTTACCCCATTCACCCATGTTTACCCCTAGTTAACCTCGTTTTACCACATTTACCCATGTTTACCCCTACTAAACCTCGTTTTACCCCATTCACCAATGTTTACCCCTAGTTAACCTCGTTTTACCACATTTACCCATGTTTACCCCTAGTTAACCTCGTTTTACCCCATTCACCCATGCTTACCCCTAGTCAACCTCGTTTTACCCCATTCACGCATGCTTACCCCTAGTTAACCTCGTTTTACCCCATCGACCCATGTTTACCCCTAGTTAACCTCGTTTTACCACGTATACCCATGTTTACCCCTAGTTAACCTTGTTGTAGCCCATTTACCCATGTTTACCCCTACTAAACCTCGTTTTACCCCATTCACCCATGTTTACCCCTAGTTAACCTTGTTTTACCACATTTACCCATGTTTTCCCCTAGTTAACCTTGGTGTAGCCCATTTACCCATGTTTACCCCTACTAAACCTCGTTTTACCCCATTCACCCATGTTTACCCCTAGTTAACCTCGTTTTATCACATTTATCAATGGTTACCCCTATTTAACCTCGTTTTACCCCATTCACCCATGCTTACCCCTAGTCAACCTCGTTTTACCCGATTCACGCATGCTTACCCCTAGTTAACCTCGTTTCAACACATTTACCCTTGCTTACCCATAGTTAACCTCGTCTCACCCCCAATCACTCTTGTTTACCCCTAGTTAACCTCGTTTTGCCCCATTTACCCATGTTTACCCCTAGTTAACCTCGTTTTACCCCGTTTACCTAATTCTGCCTAATTCTGGACTAGTTTTACTTCCCCGCTGCCTACGTGTACGCCTTTTCTGCTCAAAGTCATTTACCGCCCATAGACTTGTTGTTATTTACACTTTTTCTGTTTTATATAGTGAGGTACTTCGAACTGCTAGTCATGAGCCTTACGCTTATACATCTTCGTAGGACCTTTTAGGAGGGTCTAAGAGCTTTTTTATAAGGGGGTCTACAGCTGAAATGTCAAAAGCGCTTAAAGTCAATCTAGCATTGCTTATTATAATACGTTTTATATTTACTGGTGTTTGATTAGGCTTCAAAACGACAAAATAAATCAGATCATTCAAATACAATATATATTCGCGGGGCCTTTCATCAGACATCGTTTGCTTTTGTTTGCAGGTGGATGGTACAAGCTGGCGTGATCAAAATATGTTTTATGCACCCAAACATAGTGTATTACTGCATTGTTCATCTATGCGAAAATATCATATGATTGGCATCATTAAATTGAACCCATAATGAAGTCTTCATTGTTTAATACAGTGAGAAATCTCAAAGCTGACTCTTTTTTACCTTTCCCTTTATTAGTTAGACTTTTTACTCAGTTCGCGAACCTGGTCGCGTACAATGGCGTGCAATAACCATTGCTTTATAGATGGTAATTTTCCATCAAGTGTGAATCCTCGTTTGTGACGGGACAAGGGCTAATGTTAAAGATTAAAGCAGATAATTAACTTCGATGTTCCACGATTGCAAAAATGAATAGTGTATTGAAGACCTAGAGAAGTTGCTTTTGTGGCTCTTGAGCTTGAGGCGGTTTTCCAGAATTAGAAATATATAATTTAGCAATTTTCAGATTCGTAAGGGACAAAATTTGCTATCTGTTGGGCTCAGATATTGAGTCTTTTCTTCGCTTTTATTATTATTATTATTATTATTATTATTATTATTATCATAAATGAATAGTCTGTTGGAGACCTAGATAAAGGAGAAATATTAATGGTTATGCAAAAAGTTTGGGGGTAAATGAGATGCAGTATATGGTCTACGTGAAAATGGTGAATTCTCAAGGCCTGGAGTTAAGGGCAAATTCTAAACGTTAACTAGCTCTCGCGTTTTCTTTTGTTTTTGCCAATCTTTTTCGCTATATGCCTCTCTATAGATTGGTCAGAAGCCTATTTTCTGAAGTAATTGTTTCGAAGGGATCATTTCCGATATTTGGGATTGGACTTTGGACTGCTTATTCAGTGGAGAAAATGTTCATCAACAATACCCAAAAGTTTTTATTTTAAAATAATATCATTTCATTTATTTTGGAAAAGGATACACTACGTTTAACAATTCATATGCAACCAGAATGTCATTAATGACACAAACTATGTATGTGGATCAAGTCTGATGAATTACTTTCAATCTAGAACTTGGCAAGATTTAACTTGTATAACACTACTACTACTAAACTGGAACTATCTATTATGTCGCCTTATTTGCTTTCGAATTTTCTTCTTTGAACCAGAACAATGGTCTACAATCCACTCTGTGCCCTGCTCTCACAATCATAAAAACACAATCACCCTTAAAAATGACCGCGCGGGCCAGGAGGTTTTATATTCCCCTGCGCGCTTTATTGTTCACTTTTCCCCAGACGAGTAGGGGAGCAAATATACCTAAGAGAAGGAGAGCACATTTTTCGGGCGTGCTATGGCATATTTTCCTTTGTGAGACGTGCATAGGCAACTTCTCTTTTTTTTCCGAAGTGAGCTAATTTGGCAGCTATTTGGGTAGCAGTTTTAGAAGAAGGAGTACTATGCATATGTTGCTTTAAATTAGAACCAACTACGAAGTTAAATAGCTTTGAGTAATTTTCCGCTTACGGTGAAACGTCAGTTAGAGAAATTAACTTCATAACACTAGACAACAAAACTGACTCATAGTTTGTCCACGGTCCCTGTGCTTGTGGTGTTCCAGCCGAAGAAAGGTACTTGCAGCCTTTTTCTCTCTTATAAATACCCGGTGATCTTTTCCTCTTTACACCTGACGGGATAGTCGAGGAGCCGGAACGAGCACCGTGCACATTTTGGCAACCGACGCACTCGCAAGAAGAGGAGCAACCTTGTCCATAACCTAGACAAGGGCACCTGGACTTCTTTTTTCCATCTTTGCATGCTATGTAGTTGCTACTTTTCTTTGCCATTCTCTCTCCACACCTACATTTTAAGTTTCTGATGTGAGTCGTTGTGCTGGAATTGCTATCTGTTTCGGTGTTGTCATGATTACAACAGTTTTTGCAGATGCAGTTTCTGCTGCATCGCATTCCTTTTCGTAGGCAAGGGCAGATCCGTCGTGCCGATGGTGAGCATGATACTTTATCAGTTGTTGTAGTATTTTTACCACAGGAACAGCCTTTTAACTTCATCGATATTTCGGAATCTGTAAAACATGATAATATCATGATTAATATGAATTACATATAGGCCTGCTTGTATACCAGCTTCATTATTGATGATTGTGCACAAGTCCAACCTGTGAGCTGGTGTAACAGTCTTCCTTCCAATTCACACAAAAGCGTCAGTGGTTGTTGACGCTGTAGTTACGGTTCTTGAATTAACAGCATGCCCCAAATTATCGTTCATAAGCAAGCGCTCAAACTAACCGTTGTGATTGCGTCACTGTTATTCTTCAAGTGATAAAGATAAACCTATATTAAAAACTTGGGTAAACAGGAGTAAACGGGATAAGACATGGACAAACTGCGGTAAACACGAGTAAACAGGGTAAAACATGGCTAAACCTGGGTAAACACGAGTAAACGGGATAAAACATGGACAAACTGAGGTAAACACGAGTAAACGGGGTAAAACATGGATAAACTTGGGTAAACACGAGTAAACGGGGTAAAACATGGATAAACTTGGGTAAACACGAGTAAACGGGATAAAACATGGACAAACTGGGGTAAACACGAGTAAACGGGGTAAAACATGGCTAAACCTGGGTAAACACGAGTAAACGGGGTAAGACATGGATAAACTTGGGCAAACACGAGTAAAGGGGTTGAAACGTGGATAAACAGGGGTAAACATGGGTAAACGGGGTAAAACAGGGATAAACTTGGCTAAACACGAGTAAACGGGTTGAAACGTGCATAAACAGGGGTAAACATGGGTAAACGGGGTAAAACAGGGATAAACTTGCGTAAACACAAGTAAACGGGGTAAAACGGGGATAAACATGGGTAAACACGAGTAAACGGGTTGAAACGTGGATAAACAGGGGTAAACATGAGTAAACGGGGTAAGACAGGGATAAACTTGGGTAAACACGAGTAAACGGGTTGAAACGTGCATAAACAGGGGTAAATATGGGTAAACGGGGTAAAACAGGGATAAACTTGGGTAAACACGAGTAAACGGGGTAAAACGGGGATAAACCTGGGTAAACACGAGTAAACGGGTTGAAACGTGGATAAACAGGGGTAAACATGGGTAAACGGGGTAAAACAAGGATAAACTGGGGTAAACACAAGTAAACGGGGGAAAACGGGGATAAACCTGGGTAAACACGGGTAAACGGGTTGAAACGTGGATAAACAGGGGTAAACACGGGTAGACGGGGTAAAACAGCGATAAACTTGGGTAAACAGGAGTAAACGGGGTAAAACATGGATAAACTGGGGTAAACACGAGTAAACGGGTTGAAACGTGGATAAACAGGGGTAAACACGGGTAGACGGGGTAAAACAGGGATAAACTTGGGTAAACCGGAGTAAACGGGTTGAAACATGAATAAACTGGGGTAAACACGAGTAAAAGGGGTAAAACATGGATAAACCTGGGTAAACACGAGTAAACGAGTTGAAACGTGGATAAACAGGGGCAAACATGGGTAAACGGGGTAAAACAGGGATAAACTTGGGTAAACACGAGTAAATGGGGTAAAACATGGATAAACCTGGGTAAACACGGGTAAACGGGTTGAAACGTGGATAAATAGGGGTAAACACGGGTAGACGGGGTAAAACAAGGATAAACTTGGGTAAACAGGAGTAAACGGGTTGAAACATGGATAAACTGGGGTAAACACGAGTAAAAGGGGTAAAACATGGATAAACTTGGGTAAACACAAGTAAACGAGTTGAAACGTGGATAAACAGGGGTAAACATGGGTAGACGGGGTAAAACAGGAATAAACTGGGGTAAACACGAGTAAACGGGATAAAACATGGACAAACTGGGGTAAACACGAGTAAACGGAGTAAAACATGGCTAAACCTGGGTAAACACGAGTAAACGGGGTAAGACATGGATAAACTTGGGCAAACACGAGTAAAGGGGTTGAAACGTGGATAAACAGGGGTAAACATGGGTAAACGGGGTAAAACAGGGACAAACTTGGGTAAACACGAGTAAACGGGTTGAAACGTGCATAAACAGGGGTAAACATGAGTAAACGGGGTAAAACAGGGATAAACTTGGGTAAACACGAGTAAACGGGGTAAAACGGGGATAAACCTAGGTAAACACGAGTAAACGGGTTGAAACGTGGATAAACAGGGGTAAACATGGGTAAACGGGGTAAGACAGGGATAAACTTGGGTAAACACGAGTAAACGGGTTGAAACGTGCATAAACAGGGGTAAATATGGGTAAACGGGGTAAAACAGGGATAAACTTGGGTAAACACGAGTAAACGGGGTAAAACGGGCATAAACCTGGGTAAACACGAGTAAACGGGTTGAAACGTGGATAAACAGGGGTAAACATGGGTAAACGGGGTAAAACATGAATAAACTTGGGTAAACACTAGTAAACGGGGTAAAGCAAGGATAAACTGGGCTAAACACGAGTAAACGGGGGAAAACGGGGATAAACCCGGGTAAACACGAGTAAACGGGTTGAAACGTGGATAAACAGAGGTAAACATGGGTCAACGGGGTAAAACAGGGATAAACTTGGGCAAACACGAGTAAACGGGGTATGACATGGATAAACCTGGGTAAACACGAGTAAACGGGTTGAAACTTTGATAAACAGGGGTAAACATGGGTAAATGGGGTAAAACAGGGATAAACTTGGGTAAACACGAGTAAATGGGGTAAAACGTGGATAAACCTGGGTAAACGGGTTGAAACGTTTTAAACAGGGGTAAACATGGGTAAACGGGGTAAAACAGGGATAAACTTGGGTAAACACGAGTAAACGGGGTAAAACATGGATAAACCTGGGTAAACACGGGTAAACGGGTTGAAACGTGGATAAACAGGGGTAAACACGGGTAAACGGGGTAAAACAGGGATAAACTTGGGAAAACACGAGTAAACGGGGTAAAACAAGGATAAACTGGGGTAAACACGAGTAAACGGGTTGAAATGTGGATAAACAGGGGTAAACACGGGTAAACGGGGTAAAACAGGGATAAACTTGGGTAAACACGAGTAAACGGGGTAAAACATGGATAAACTGGGGTAAACACGAGTAAACGGGGTAAAACAGGGATAAACTTGGGTAAACACGAGTAAACGGGGTAAAACATGGATAAACCTGGGTAAACACGGGTAAACGGGTTGAAACGTGGATAAACAGGGGTAAACATGGGTAAACGGGGTAAAACAGGGATAAACTGGGGTAAACACGAGTAAACGGGGTAAAACAGGGATAAACCTGGGTAAACACGAGTAAACGGGTTGAAACGTGGATAAACAGGGGTAAACATGGGTAAACGGGGTAAAACAGGGATAAACTTGGGTAAACACGAGTAAACGGGGTATGACATGGATAAACCTGGGTAAACACGAGTAAACGGGTTGAAACTTTGATAAACAGGGGTAAACATGGGTAAATGGGGTAAAACAGGGATAAACTTGGGTAAACACGAGTAAATGGGGTAAAACGTGGATAAACCTGGGTAAACACGGGTAAACGGGTTGAAACGTTGTTAAACAGGGGTAAACATGGGTAGACGGGGTAAAACAGGGATAAACGTGGGAAAACACGAGTAAACGGGGTAAAACATGGATAAACTGGGGTAAACACGAGTAAACGGGTTGAAACGTGGATAAACAGGGGTAAACACGGGAAGACGGGGTAAAACGGGGATAAACTTGGGTAAACACGAGTAAACGGGGTAAAACATGGATAAACTGGGGTAAACACGAGTAAACGGGGTAAAACATGGATAAACGTGGGTAAACACGAGTAAACGGGGTAAAACATGGATAAACCTGGGTAAACACGGGTAAACGGGTTAAAACGTGGATAAACAGGGGTAAACACGGGTAAACGGGGTAAAACAGGGATAAACTTGGGTAAATACGAGTAAACGGGTTAAAACGTGGATAAACAGGGGTAAACACGGGTAAACGGGGTAAAACACGGATAAACCTGGGTAAACACGGGTAAACGGGTTAAAACGTGGATAAACAGGGGTAAATATGGGTAAACGGGGTAAAACAGGGATAAACTTGGGTAAATACGAGTAAACGGGGTAAAACATGGATAAACCTGGGTAAACACGAGTAAACGGGTTGAAACGTGGATAAACAGGGGTAAACATGGGTAAACGGGGTAAAACAGGGATAAACTTGGGTAAACACGAGTAAACGGGGTAAAACATGGATAAACTGGGGTAAACACGAGTAAACGGGGTAAAACATGGATAAACCTGGGTAAACACGAGTAAACGGGTTGAAACGTGGATAAACAGGGGTAAACATGGGTAAACGGGGTAAAACAGGGATAAACTGGGGTAAACACGAGTAAACGGAGTAAAACATGGATAAACCTGGGTAAACACGAGTAAACGGGTTGAAACGTGGATAAACAGGGGTAAACATGGGTAAACGGGGTAAAACAGGGATAAACTTGGGTAAACACGAGTAAACGGGGTAAAACATGGATAAACCTGGGTAAACACGGGTAAACGGGTTGAAACGTCCATAAACAGGGGTAAACATGGGTAAACGGGTTAAAACAGGGATAAACTTGTGTAAACACGAGTAAACGGGGTAAAACATCGATAAACTTGGGTAAACACGACTAAACGGGGTAAAACATGGATAAACTTGTGTAAACACGAGCAAACGGGGTAAAACATGGATAAACCTGGGTAAACACGGGTAAACGGGTTGAAACGTGGATAAACAGGTGTAAACATGGCTAAACGGGGTAAAAGGGGGATAAATTTAGGTAAACATGCAGATATGTAAATTTTATATCTTCGGGACGTCTGGTGGGCCTAACATGGTTGCATTACCCATTCGGGATTGCAAGCCTCTGGTTCGGTTTATGGAGAAAAATTGAAGGTTCGAGAAATCGGGATTCTAGTGTATTTGCACGAAAGTGAAATGAATTCATCTTTCGCAATTGCTTCGTAAGTGTATTCGTAGCTTATGAGCTTATGTTTTGCGGTGTATGACATTTGCAGACTGCGGACTGCGGACTGCAGACTGCAGACCGCAGACCGCAGACCGCAGACCGCAGACCGCAGACCGCAGACCGCAGACCGCAGACCGCAGACCGCAGACCGCAGACCGCAGACCGCAGACCGCAGACCGCAGACCGCAGACCGCAGACCGCAGACTGCAGACTGCAGACTGCAGATCACAGATTGCGGACTGTAAATTTAATGACACCAAAAATCTTCCTAATAAAGCTAGGTGACGTCATCAAAAATATAACCTCGTGTGAAAGTGAGAAGTAGCCTGGTCGATATTTTTGCGCAAAGTTACAATGGACTCTTTCCCAAGATGCTGTTGGCTATTCTTCTTCGACCCTTTCTCAACTCACCCGGCATATCACTAGTTGCGTTGATTCTTTATTCTTCTTTGATTATTGTGAATTGATAATGACAAGTAGCAATGCCCACTAATGCCTGTCTAAATAGTAGTCTTCGTGCTCACTACAGTTACGTCGACAAAAACAACTAGGATAGATCAAGGACTTTTAACACCTTTTAAATGACGTATTTCATCTTAGCAGTATTCAGGGATATGCTATATAATCTAAAATGAACAGATCCTACCTGGACTCGACGAATTACAAGAACTGCATTTTGAATTTCTAAATAGGAAAATAACTGCTCATACTCAAGTTCAAGTACACAGGTGAGGACCCCGTAGAATAAGGATTCCGGCGCTGTTTCTCAGACAGACTTATATAACCGTAGTTTAATTTCGTCTGTGGTGTAGGCTAAATTGCTAGACGGTTGCTATGGAATCATGAGCAAGTTTGTGACATCGGCAGACATTATTCTGCTTTAATTCAAAACGAAAAGAACAGCCAACAGCTCCTTTAGGAGTGACATCTGTGTAATTTACGTAAAAAATATAAACTTTGCTTCTAGGCTTTACTTCTCGGAACAAGGTAATGTTGATGATGACGCCACCTTTATTACAATATTTTTGGTTTCATTAACAGTCTTGCTGCCTCATGCAGTGTGCGGTCTGCAGTCTGCAGTCTGCGGTCTGCGGTCTGCAGTCTGTGGTCTGCAGTCTGCAGTCTGCAGTCTGCAGTCTGCAGTCTGCGGTCTGCAGTCTGCAGTCTGCAGTCTGCAAATGTCATACACCGTATGTTTTGTGCGTTTGTACCAGTTTTGTCCACAGTGTACAGCATTGTAAGTTTATTCGGTGTTGAATCGAGGCTTGTTTATATTCCTTTTCAGAGGTGATGGGGGAAACAAAAGGGAAAAAGATAGGTACCTTACGTTGTCGTGGGTTGAAGCCTCCTGTAATCAGGGGCTATGCCGCCGCGTTCGGTTACTGGTTTAGAACGTTTGGGCACACCGAACAATATAACGAAGCCATTATCACAGCTGAAGATGGTTCTCAACGGGTTATCCCAAAGGGAAATCCGATGTCTTCGCCTGGTAAGCTATAAAATTACCTTCTTTTTTCTAATTTAATCCAAAAATTTTTTTGTTATTTTTTATAACGTTAAGCCTATGTAAGTATGGATTCCTTGTCACACTTTTGCCTCATGGTCAACTCCTTAATTTTGAATATAATGTGATCAAAACATGCAAAATCACCACCCTTCATCAGTACTATATGTTTTATCATTACAAAATACATATACAATAACTAACTAAACTTCTCCCCTTTTCAAAAACTAGTCAGAGATTTCAACAGATCTTTTGTTATGGCCAACAACAACAGCTTGTGCTGTCCCGCCTTCCTTGTTTATATTCCCATGGACCATATGCTCTTCCTTGTTTGTATTACCGGCACTAGGACCGAATGACCCAGGATGTCCAGAACTGTACCTAATTCTCCATTTTCAAATATTTATGGCGGTGTTAAGACGTTCCCATAAAAGTTAGCTAACAACCTTTGTGCAGTGGGAATAATCAGTTTTTGCTAAAACATGAAATAGAAAATTACCTTTGATTGTGTTAGTAGCATTGCTTGCTTTTTACTGTTAAAATGTGGGGGCTGGGGGTGCTTTAGCCCCCCCCCGCCCCCCCCCCCAGCCGCCCCCTGCACGGTCCCTGTAATGCATCATTCAGTTCCAGTTTCACCCATGCACCCTTCCTTGGATATTACATGTAGCACTCACTATTTTGCATTGGATGGCAAATTCCTGGGGTGGGGAAAACTTAACCTGCCAAATGCCCCGTGACAGGGATGACAAAAGGGGGCAAATTCCCGGCCCTAATCAACACTGTATCAGTTTTTCACTTGTCACACAGTTGAGTAGTGCCACCCCCACTGTGAGCATCGTGATATGTGAACTTTTGTTTGAGTTAGCATCTGCCTTAGTTATAGAACTATTTTAATGGAAACTTCTAGCGACGATCCTTATTCTACTGTTGTGTTTTATCTTGTTTTTGATATTTTGTTGGTACAAATAAATTGGTGTCAAAATTGAAGCTATCTGATTTAAACAGCTCAAGGTATCATCCACCCTCAAGTACCCTCCT